GTGAAGGAATGGTACGAAAATGGGTTAGGGCCTTTAGTAATGGCCGCACAAACATTCACGATGAGGAACGAAGTGGGCGACCTTCAGTCATTATCGACGATTTGATTGAAAAAGTGGACTGTAGAGTGAAAGAGAACAGACGATTCACGATTTCATCTTTATCTAAAGAGTTTCCTGCAGTTTCAAGAAGTGTTCTCTATGAAATTGTGACCGGACGATTAAATTATCGGAAGTTGTGTTCCCGTTGGGTGCCGAAAATGTTGACAGAGGAGCACAAAACCAAACGTTTGGCTAGTGCATTGACTTTTCTTGAGCGCTACAGTGATGAGGGAGATGATTTTTTAAGCCGTATTGTTACAGGCGATGAAACGTGGGTAGCCTATGTTACACCGGAATCGAAGCAACAATCCATGGAATGGCGACATTTATCATCTCCAAGGAAAGTCAAGTTCAAGCAAACAATTTCTGCTCAGAAAATCATGTGCACAGTGTTTTGGGACAGATACAGAGTGTAGCTTGTTGATTTTTTGCCTCATGGTGAAATGATCAATTCAGCTGCATACTGTGAGACTTTAAAAAAACTGCGCCGTGCAGTACAAAACAAAAGGTGCGGCTTACTGAGCAAGGGTGTCATTTTGCTCCGCAATAATGCTCGTCCACATACAGCAAATCAAACTCAAGACCTAATCGCATCATTTGGCTGGGAACAATTAGACCACCCTCCATACAGCCCCAACCTAGTGCCGAGTGATTATCATTTGTTTCTGCATTTGAAAAAGCATCTGGCAGGGCAGTGCCATAACAATCACGACAAAGTCAAAACGACCATTCTGCAGTGGTTGCCTCATCAGGCGGCAACATTCTTTGAGGATGGAATAAAAAAACTGGTCCCACGATACGATAAGTGTCTCAATATTAATGGGAATTATGTAGAAAAGTAGTGTAAAATATGGGCCTTCACATAAATAAAAATTTTGTTAAAAATGTTTGCTTGTTTTTTTTATATTTCAAAATGGTACTTACTTTAAAAATACGCCTCGTAAAATAAAGTGAAATGTTTTTATTAAAAAATTTTAGTTTCGGATCTCTTACATTTTTCGGAAAAAAGTATCCATCTTTAATTGTTTACATTTTTGTTTTCTTTCATTGAGAATTTCAGAATATGGCTGAACGGATGCGATGATGCTTCTTTTTACATTTGCACTTCACTCCCAATCATTGTCTAACTCACAAAGTTCATCTGTCAAACTTTCCATAGTTGAAAGGATACGTTAACCCAACGTAGAGCTACGGACAAGCGGAGACACTGATTGGTCGACCACCGGTTGCCGTAGCACATATATAAGGTCAGTTTGAGTGGGAAAATTGAAGGTGGCTAAGGAGAGATAGATATCGTCTGGCCAACAAGAAGTAGATTTGTCTCACTAACGATATTTTGTGATCGCTGGAAGTGCTACTGCGTTGTAAGGTGTTTTCCTAAACGAACTGATACGGGATACATTCATTGGCACTATGGATTTGAACGCCATTTATTGGACTATTAAGTTTGATAACTTGACTCGTGGATACCTAAACATTTAGTGTTTTAATATTAATTTAATGCAAATGTATACATACCCAATAATATTAAACAGAAAAATAAATATATTCAATAAAAATCTTTGTTTTAACGAATGTACAATGTTGCGGCTCGGTAAATACATCAACACTGAAATGAAAATCAGTCTGGCATAGGGAAAATCGGGGAATTACACCGCGAAATGGCAAATTGCATAGTGGTGTTATTGTGAATCGGCATAAATTGAGCCGGCGTAAACTGAGGGCTACCTGTATTAAAATATTAAATTACCTTACCTCTATCACAACTTTATAAGGAGATAAAGTAACAGATCTCTGTATTCAATTGCTATACTTTGGAATCCATATTTTATAATTAAATTGTTCATTTCCATTGTAACATTGAATTTTGTTACACATTTATTGTTCAAATCAGTCACAAAAACTGTTATTGAATTTGCCACTGTGAGGCACTACCAAGCAATACATGCATGGTCTCCATAAAGACGTATTAGTTTATTATGATCTTTCAATAGAATCCTTAAATTTAGTAGAGTTTAATTTAAAATAGAAATATGTATGTTAAAAATATTTCATACAGATATTTTTAAGTATCATCATTTAATATATAAAATATAATCCTTTTACAAATATTTAAAGAATCTATTTAAAATAAATTATATATATTTTAATTTATTGTAGAAAAATGCAGATTGTGAAACTGCTATGTGCTATTTTCGTTCATATCTAGAAACAAAAGGTACTGCTCTAAGTCAAAATGATGATGTATTACCATATTATGCCTTACCTTTCATTCCCAATCCACAAATTCATCCATCATTCAGAAAACTTTTTGAGGTAATTTTAAATATCATGCCAGTTATTCTTTATGGAATAATTATCTTAATAACTGTTTTTCTGTAGGAAAATTGGGTAGCTAAATTGAGAGATCAATTAGAACATTATCTCTTTGGTTTAATAGAAAATACAGATGAAGTACAGAAGCAGCCTTGCTTAATGAAGCTATATGTATCCTAAATTAATAAAATATATAAACTAGTAAGATGTTGTCTTATCAGTTTTATTTATTTATAAGATTTTTATTATTATTTTATACATTATATGTTAGTTTTATATTATATAGAACTAATGAGTAAAATTTCATAAAACTTATTAATTAAATATGTAATGTAAGTTAAAAAAGGAAAAATGTATGAATTTTAAATATGAACTAATTGCTGGCCAGACAGCAAAGTAGCAAGATTATATTCCTACCACTCTAAGAAATGAGGGCTCAAATTTGAATCTGGATCGGATTCACAAGAATTTTTTATTATCAAGTTTAGTGTTTGTATGTTGGTCTAATTTCTCACCATTCAGTCTCCATATTTTGAATCTAGCCAAATCTATAACAGGTTTTAAATAAAAGTGTTTTTATTTAAAATTTGTTTAGTACTGTATTTGTAGATTCATGGTTTTAGTACAGTATTTGTAGATTCGTGGTTTTAGTACAGTATTTGTAGATTCGTGATTTTGTTTTGTTAGATATATTATTATTATTATCCTTTCTTTCTTTAGCAGAAAAACAAAAACAAATAAAAATAATAATTACAATATACAGTGAAATCTTGATCTATCATTTCCATATCAATCATGTTTCCACATCTATCGGTTGTTTTCTCCAGTCCTAAATAAGGACTCATATGTATAATGTTAATTTTTCCCATATTCTTCATTCCTATATGGTTCATTTTTCCTCAATATTTATTCTGTATTTTAACTAAAAGAAAAATATTATCCTGCATCAATTGTTCTACCCACAATAGAGGGCACTAAATTGAGACACTGATTTTTGTGTGTTAATAATAAAAGCTCCCCATATATTAAAAATTAAATCCAAAGCTAAAAGTTAAAAAGTTTTGTAAATGAACATCAGTTTGTGTACAAAACTAAACCAATTTCCCAAATTGCTCCTCTTAATATATTGTATTTATCTAATAGGTAATAAAATACAGTGTTGTAGTATAATATTGTAATCATACTGAAAGACAGAGATTATTGTTTTTTTTTGGATAATTCTTGCAATTATTTACATAGCAATTAAATATGTACAATAAAATAAAATACATTTATTTTATTTTATTGTACATATAATTGTACAATAAAATATTATTTTATTGTACATATAATATTGTACAATATTATATACATAAAATAAAACATTTATTTTATTGTACATATTTAATCAATCTATCAAAAATGATAGATCGAGGTTTCACTGTATTTAAATCAAAATAAAATATTTTAAATATCATAACAATAAAAAAATAAAAGTTATTATTTGTTATTTTTTAAAAAATAGCATTATTAAATTATGTTATTTCTTTAATTAATTATTAATATAAAATAATTTTTATTATAATATTATATTATATGATATTTTATTTATAAGTTAAAATTACACAGTTATAATTGTGTAATTTTAAGTTTATAAGTAAAGTATTTTTGAAAATTTTATTTGAAAACTGTAAACTTAGTTTATGAGGACAGAAATAATTAAATGGAATGATTATAATGTTTTACATTCCAAGTTTTACATTTCACCAATCAGATTCCTTTATGTAAAACTTTGTCTTTATCTAAATAATGCAAACATTGAAAGAACTTTATTAGGAACTAAAATACTGTATAATGGAATTAGACACTAAAAATGTAAAATATTAGTTTTGCTTAATACTCCTCATGCAGGCTGTTCATTGTCTGAATTTTCTGTGATTAATGGCAAAGTAAAAAGACTAATTAGTGTATAGAATAATAAGCATTGTTATTTTGCTATTAATTACTAATCGTTTATATTAATAATGCTAATATATTGCCTTAGTTGTATCATGATGTATTAAATCCATAACCACATCTCATCTAACATGTTCTTGAAAATGATTCAAATATTAGGAAGTATTTTCCATTATTTCTTATAGGAAAAATTCTATCTCATTTCCAATCCATCTTAATAACTCCAATCAAATTTTCAAAATGACAATAAAATTCTGCAAAAAAAACTATTTAGCTATCAATTAATGATTTTATCATGATATCAAACATTACAAACTTTAATTATCTTACTAACAAACACTTTATGGGGTCATTATATGAATATGTTTGTTTAGTAGTTCTGCTAAGAATTGTATATGAATTGTGTTTTCTTAGTATATATAGATGCATAATAGATAACAATGAAAATGTTATAATAATAATATATAATTTTGTATTAAAATATTAATGTATAAAAGCAAAACAGTGAAAATAAAAGATGAGATAATGTTAAAAATAAGCTTGTAAGATTGCACTGAAATTTTGCAATAAAAATCACTGAACTATATACAAATACAATAAAACATAGACACAACACTAATGCTGAAACAAATGAAAATGGATAATGGGAATGGAGTTAGTCTCAAGTTCCAACTTTGCATGGCTGTTCATTTTATTTGAATTTTCAGTCATCTAAGATAACATTGGTCCATATTATCACAGCTAATCAGGATTATATTGTATCTAAAATTAAATTTTTATAAACTATAAGTATGTAAGAGAACAACCAGTTAACTATCTTTGGCATTTACAAAGTGAGTCAAAAGTTGTTTGTACCTTTTTCATTCTAAAAGTACTGAAGATATATTAATTTTGTTACTGTAGTTAAATAGGAAGTCATGTATGAAGAATCAGATATGACATTTTTGTTGACCTGAAAATGATTTCAAGAAAGATTTCAATTTTTAATTAAAATTTTCTTATAAGTGGAGTTTCAAACTGATGAATTTTTGTGAAATTTTTCTTTTAAACAATCATTGCATGGAAACATGATTTTGTTTTAAGAAATTAAAGAACATGATTTGTCGATAGATTATTATTATTATTATTATTGATAATGTGTGACTACAGTGATGCTAATGTCATTTCTGCTGCTCCAAGCACAACTTTGATATTTATGCTTTCATTTGATATTTTTGTAATAAACTATGTTATTAATAATATTAGGTTGTTCGGAAAGTAAGTTCGTTTTTTTTTACCACTAGATGAATTAGTTATATTTTTTCCACCATTTTCATTCTAAACCATATTATCATTATGTATTTTGACAGCTAGCATTTTAAGGCTTATTTGTAAAAAATTTTGTTTGATTCTGTGCAATTGTTTATTTTTTGTGTCCCATCAAATATGGAAGATTGAAAGCATCATTTTCAGCATATTTTGCTTTTTTATTACCGAAAAATCAAAATGCTGTTCAAGTGAGAAAAAGATTGTGGTACATGTATGGAGATGATGTGTTGAGAGAAAGACAGTGCCAAAACTGGTTTACAAAATTTCATTCTGGCAATTTCAATATTGAAGATCCACCACGTTCTGGATTGCCAGTTGAAACCAATGAAAACAAAATAAAGGTACCGATTGAAGCAAACTTCCAAATAACAACACATGAAATCACTAAGAGATTAAATTTGTCAAATTGAACTGTTTATGATTACTTGAAACAAATTGATTTCGTTTCAAAGCTTGATATATGGGTTCCACATGTTCTTAAAGAGAGATGTTTCTTTGGTGGGATTTTAAGGAAATTTTTTTTTTTGGAGCTTTTACCAGACAATTTAACAATTGATTCGAAAGAGTACTGCCATTGAGTAAACAAATTGAGTAATACCATCAAACAGAAAAGGCGGTCAGAATTGATCAACAAAACAAGTATAGTGTTTTACCACGATAATATTAAATTTCACACAAGTTTGGTAACTCGTCAGAAACTGTTATAACTTAGATGGGACCTGCTATCACACCAACCATATTTGCCAGATTGAGCACACTTAGATTATTACTTGTTCTGGTCTATACAAATTGTTTTTAACTGTAAGATATTTACTTGAAATGACAATGTCAAAAATCACTTGGATCAGTTTTTTGTAAGCAACAATCAAAACTTTTATGAATGTGAAATCATGCTACTACCAGAAACAATGACAACAGGTATTTGACCAAANTAAATTAAATTTGTTGATTAAGTAACATATTTATTTACATAACAACAAAATGTTAAATTACTTTTAATTTAATAAATATTAGTTTAAAAATTAATATATAATATATGAAATACTATATATTATATACTATATTTGATATGAAGGCTTTATTTGATATTTTAATAAATTCTCATTTTTAATTGCAGAAAGCAAGATTACTTTAGCCTTTACTCATTTATCGTCTTATAATGAATCTAATTGTTTTCACCAGTACATTAAAGTTAGAGATGGGATGGACTCCACTGCTCCACTGCTTCAAACTTTTTGTGGGTACCAATTACCCCTGCCTGTTATTTCAAATGGCAATGCACTTCATATTGAATATTCAGGTGGTTTATTTAGAGCAGTTTATGGAACAGCTTCTACAGGTAAGAATTATAAATTTAAAGAATATTAATATGTAAATTTTCGACTATAAATTCGACTATCTTCTATTATCAGGACTTATTATACTGGTTTTACAGATAATATTACAAAGATTAACAGAAAACAATTTTTATTTTATTTCGTATACCAGGTATACGAAATAAAATAAAAATTTTTTCTGTTAATCTTTGTAATATTATCTGTAAAACCAGTATAATAAGTCCTGATAATAGAAGATACGAATTTATAGTCAAAAATCTACATATTAATAAGAAAAAAAGGACATTGAGGCAATTTAATTAAATTTGTGATAATTGATTTTATTTATCAAATTTTAGTCTTTATAATTTCAAATATACAAATAAAAAAAATTATATAAAATTACCATAGATATATATTGTATTAGACTTCTCCATATTCAAACTAATATGGGCATAGATGATTTGGATGTTAGAAAAATAGAGTAAGGGAGTCTGACAATTTTTAAATAAGATTGTAATATATGTGTTTACTGTGTGTATAAAAAATGTTTATTTTAATTTTTAACTCTTATTTTTGACAATTACAATTGCAATTAATTTTGAAAGAATTATGTTTTTAAGATGTTTGCTTTGTTCTTGATTTGCTAACAAACTGTTACACACAAGCCAATGCCTCGTCATTATTGTGTCAGTGGTAGTTGATGCATTGTGCCCATCTACAAACTTCAATGTAACCTTAATAAATAAAAAAAAGTTAAAAAATATGTATACTGCAATGTGGAAAAGTAAGATTTGGAATAGTATACAATTTTTTTTAACATTTTTAGCTGTCTTTGATCAGATATAGGAGAGTCTACTATGTATTTCATTCAGACATTTCTAAACCCCCATCTCATTCTAATACATTAAGAAAATGTTTATCTTACAATCTTTAATTTGTCATTTGTCACATGTCTTACAGTTGTCATTTGCTTAAACAATAGCTTATTTCATAAATAATCTTTGATAATGAAAGGAATTTTTTTAATAATACAGTAGAGCGTCGATTATCCGAATCAATTGGGGACTGGGGTTGTTCGGAAGTTCGATGTTTCGGATAACTGATTATGTACGAAAAAATATATTAATTTATTCCATCTTGACATTTTTCTCCATTGTGTGTTGCTTCGCGTTGAATTTTCATCGATGTTAAGCCTAACAAAGACTATTGTATNTTTATTTATTTAATTAATTTATTTATTATTTAATTTTATTTAACTGAATAATGAATGTAATAAATGCATATCTTGCTGTTATCAATTTTATTTACAGTGTCATTGCCTTACAAAGCATAAACACATTTTGAGTTTTCATTTCAGTTCTGTACAATAAAATAAATTAACAGCAAGACATATGTTGTTAATTGAGCATTATTCCTGAGATTAACTTGAAGATACACAATGTGGTTCCAGTTTATAAATAATTTGTTTAATTTTATATAATTTTTCACTTTATTTGCTTGAAATTTAATTTTATAATTGTGTCATAAATCAAACATGCTTTTTAGAATCAGAATAATGCACATAGTTTTAACAATTTAGAGCAAAAATACTTTCAGACTATTCTAATTTTTATAATGATGGCACATGTCCATCCTCTGACATGCCATTTTCAGGAAATATTTATCTTTTAAGATTAATCTTTAAAGTATCTATAAGCAAACAACTGCTGGATAACATCGGGCTAGTTTTCCATGACTATATTTAATTAATTTCTAAATAATTTGTCCCAGAGGGATTAGTATCAAAAACGTAAAATATTTGAGTAGCCCAAGACATAGCCAAAGATTCCAGCGCTACAGCACTGGCGGAAATTTAAATTTGCTGACTGGAATTCTTTCGGATGATTGACTTTTGGATAATTGACGCTCTACTGTAACTTTTCAATGAGAAATCTACACAAGCTATGTCTATTTTTGAAACTAATCCTGTTGATCTTATCACAACCTTTTCTCATGGTATATCTGTCTTCAGATTTATTCTCATTATCATAGCATGTATCTTTGTCACCTGTGTATGTTTATATGTGTGACTATTTTGCATAGTCACTTATATAAACATAAAAGTAATTTATGTTAATATAAACTTCATAATAGAAACATAACTGAATCTTTTTTACTTTTCAAGTTGGTGAAGTTGGTGATTGTTTATCAAGCTAGTTAGTGTCCAAAATTTTTGATTTTTCAATAAGAAAAATGGAGAAATGTTAACAGAAATACTTAGAAAAGTGTGATAATTTTTAAATAAGATTGTAATATATGTGTTTACTGTGTGTATAAAAAATGTTTATTTTAATTTTTAACTCTTATTTTTGACAATTACAATTGCAATTAATTTTGAAAGAATTATGTTTTTAAGATGTTTGCTTTGTTCTTGATTTGCTAACAAACTGTTACACACAAGCCAATGCCTCGTCATTATTGTGTCAGTGGTAGTTGATGCATTGTGCCCATCTACAAACTTCAATGCAACNATTTTAAAAAACTTTAAATACTTTATCTGAGAAGATATTTTTAAATTATTGAACCTTGAATATGGACATGTATACTCTGAAAGCATGTGGTATTTAACTGATAAAATTTTGTGTTATTTTGACTATATAAAAGCAGATTTGATTTATGATTTTTATAGGAATTGTTCATAAGATTTATGATTGGATTGAATATAACTGTTATTTGATATTATTAAAATAATAATTTTAGATCTCTTAAAAATACATGCAGTATTATCTGGTAAAATTTGGATTGATTATAAAAACAAGATGTAATAAAGTTAGATTTTCAGTACAGATGTGGCAAAACTTTGTCTTTGATCGTATTTATGTGTGATGCTTTGGATTAGATGCAAATCCTCACAAAATTTGTTCAAGAATTTTTGGAATTGAATAGAAAGAACAAAAACCAAGAGAGACATAAATCATTTTTGTTTAAAGTTTACATGACAGAGGAACTGATATAAATGTTATAAGTCACTGATCAACTAACTCTGGCTGGAGTCAGAATTTGGCATCAAATTAAATGTTGATGCTGACCTCTCCTGCAGTCTGAGTTGTCTCAGATTACCCTTGGTAATGGATATGAGACTGATCAGAAAGTGTGAACGAAGAACCAAGACCACTTGAGATGGACAATTGAGGAGCCAAATTGATTAAAACTTGTATCCCAATGATATGAAGTTCTTATTCCTTATTGACAGGTTTTCCTTTGCAAGTTACTCTTGTTCATTCCTATTTTGCAGACACTTTCAAAAGCTATTCCATCTCCTTTTGGGTTGTACCTGTGAAGTTCTGACTTCAACAGGTCTTCTTCTTCTCTCTCGGCAACATTGGACTCCTCAATCTATCTCAGCATTGGGATAAGTTCTTGGGACATTTATTTTCCTTGATTTTTTGGAAAATACTTGGCTACTGTAGGTGGTCGAATGTCTTTTCATAATCAGTATTAATGATTAAAGCATGTTGTTTCCTTTTTCATGTACTTTTGATAAACACTTTTACTCTAAGGCCACATCAATCATCAATCTGCTAGACCTGAAGCCATACTGGTTGTCGTTTGGTTGATTAGTTTCTCTTAAGTGCCAGTTTATTCTATTTATTAGTAATCTGTCTAGCACTTTACCCAAAACAGAGAGCAGGCTGATTGGCCTGTAGTGATCAGGTTTAGTTAGATTGTTGTTTTTGGCACTGATTTGACATTTAGCTAAACACCAACCAAATGCCGAAATTCTATCGGGCTAGTTTAAGGCTAATTACTAAATGAACTTTTTTTTTTATTTATAATTATTAATGTTAATAAGAGATGGTGCCTAACGCTTACCTCTAGAGCCAAATTAGTTACATAATTCATTTAGTAAATTAGCCTTAAACTAGCCCAATAGAATTTTGGCATTTGGTTGGTGTTTAGCTATATTATATATTGGGTTTAGCGATGTTTGTAGATTTGACATTTGCTATTTTCCACTATGTTGGGAAAAATCTGGTTTCTAGACTTTCCATATATGATGTTTCGTCCCTTGTATTATTCTAAATGGTCAATTCTCTTTCTCTGAGAGAATTTTGGCTGCATTTCTGTAGTACTGGGGACATGAACAGGGGTCATATTCTGGTCACCGTCTCTGGTCTCTCGTCTCTCACAAGCTGGTCGCTGATTGGCTAATCCAAATGATTAACCAATCAGCGACCGGCTTACGAGAGACCAGAGATGGTGACGAGAATATGGCCCCAGGTCTTCACATATACTACAGATTCGATTTAAACTGTCTCTGAATCAATAAGTCACATGCTTCTACTGTTAGTTATAATTCATCAAGACATAGTTATAATTGATTCTAGGTACTAAATAAATAGTTATGCCATGTATAATCTGCTTAGAACATTTCTTACATTGATATTTTTTTCATAAAATATTAAATACTTTGTGCATGTTTCAAAGTTTTATAAAAACTTGATTTTAAAATAAAGTCTACTTTTATTCATGAAATTTATTTTAAATTGATTATTGAAGAATTTATTTTAATTTAAATATGTATTTTAGATATGCAGGAAGAATTGAACACTGCAGAAATTAAATGGAAGGAATCAGAAAGGAAAAACAGCATTCAATCAAAACAACTTGTAAAATTACAGGTAAAATTTTAATTATTATATTTTATCTACTCAAGTAAACTGTCATAATATCATTCAGATAATATACAGTAGATGCTCCTATATCCAAACTAATGTGGATGAGAGTGATCTGGATATTACAAAAATCTGGATAAGGAAGTGATATAATTTTTAAATAAGACTGTAACATATATGTTTACTATGTGTATAAGAAACGTTTATTTTGAGTTTGATGCTTATTTTTGACAATTACAATTCATTTTGAAAGTATTGTGTTAAAGTTGTTTGTTTTGTTCTTCTCAATTCACTGCTTAGCTGCTACATAATGCTAATGTCTCATCATTATCACATCTGTGGTAGCTGATGCATTGTGCTCTTCTATGAACTTCAAGCAGCCTTACTAAAACAAAATTTAAAAATATACACACTGCAGTATGGAAAGGTAAAATTCAGAGTAGTGTACAATATTTTTGAAAATTTTTGGTTACATTTCACCAGTCTGTATATGGGAGAGTCTGTACTGTATCTTGCAAAGTTTGCTAGAATGAAATGAAATGTTTGTATAACCTGAACTACATACAGGAGTTGCTCTGAAAAATTTAAAAAAAATCACTAACTATTTCACCAGTATTTATTATTATTTTTTTTTGCACTTCAAATTATTTATTACTACCAGTTTTACTTACTAATTAATCCAGTTGCTGGTAGCCTTATCAGTTTGGAATCTGGAAAACAAAAGTAGCATGTTAAGCTGTCACTTAGAAATAGGAATCATTTTTGAATAATTTTTTAATGAAAAATTTTGAGTACAACATTTGAACACAATGTTTAAACAGTATTTCACATGTTGTGTCATGTCAAAATTTCAAATCATTTATTGATAAAAAATCAAAGTGAAAAAATGTTAGTCCAAAAAATTCCCTAAATTTTCTATCAACCAATAAAAATTTCCTGATCTGAATGTGCTGAATGGCATTGCACAAAAACTGTATTTGGTTCTCAATGTCACTCCTGTTTTCTTGTTCAAACTTACTTACTCCTGTTTTCTTGTTCAAACTTACTGTGAAGTTATGACATTGCTAGATATATGATGCACATGATTCCCATTGCACAGGAGCTTGACATTCTGTTGAATTTCCTGAAGCAATCTTTGTAATTCAATTTCACACTGAATGTTGAAATAAGTGGACTAGGGATTTAGTGGACCAGTATTATAGTTTTATTGCCAATTTAATAAAAATATTGCCAAGTAGTGATTTTGGCACTATGCATCATGACCCCTGTACATATACTGAATACTTCTAAACACTTGCCAGTATGCAGCTTAGAAGGTATCATTTGAAATGATATGATTTGAAATGTATTATTTTTTCCTCTTACTTTCATTTTATTTATGTAGTGGTTTACATAATTTGTAGACTTGCTTTCAAATTGACTTATCTGTATAGATATCCATGTGTTAGTCTCATGATATTATGGTAAATGTAATATAATTACTTTTATTATGCTTGAAGATGATGAATTAGGCAAAAATATTTGCATATATATTTTTTCCCTTTAGTGTTTCAGTTAAAGCATTTTATTTACATGCATGTGTGTGTTAATTTTTGAAGCATTGATTGCCATTACATTGTTGTTGTTATATAATAATTACTTTAATAATACATTTAGTTTAAAGCATGAAAATTTTTCCTGTCTTATTTTCTTTTATAGTTTTAATATCTGTCAGTGAAAAATATATTTTCAGCTGAATATGTATTCAATTTCTAAATACTATTCATTATTTGTTTATTTAAATTAGTTTATTTTAATGTTGAATTCATTTAAAATTATTCAAGTCATTACTTTTTAAAAAATGTTTTTGGACAATTTCTCTCTGTTTTTATGCTATACTATAAATGCAGTAAAATCTTATTTTGTGGCCATCCCTAAAATTCCCCTATAAAACTGCATAAATTTAAATATAAAACAAATTTCATATTGGTGGCCATCTCCACTTAACTGGCTGTGTTCAAATGGTCCATTTGCACACAGTAGAGTTTTTTGTGACAGTGATGTTGGTTGTAAGCAGCTTCATCAAGATGATGCCAAACAAATGTAGATCATTGCCTTCTTTTGCACTATCAGCCCTTTGACATTTGCAACAGCTGGTTGACCTTTGTTCATCCATGAACACTAACAAATACTTTGCATATGAGATCACAAACCTTCATTACATTGCAGCCATTTTTGAAGAGATAGCGCAAAAACATGTAAATGTGTTCTTTTGAAGTTTTCTATGATCAGACATTGCCGATGCATCTATTTCTAATGAAATATGATGAAATGCTCTTTGTATTCGCTTGTATTCTGCTGTAAATACTTATTATACTTGAATACCCCCATCAAATGTTCTAAAACATTTTTTTTCTAGTCATTTCTAGAAAAAATCAAAATGTCTAAATTTCACTTTTATAACCTGATAATACTATAGAAGCATGTATGATCTTTACTTTTTTCTATAATCAGTAATTTTAACTTTTCAGTTCCATTCATATTTGCCCTTATCATTATAGTTATTCTGTCTTTATTATACTTTCCTTCAAAATATTTATCCTTTTAAAATGTTAATGTTTTATCTGGTAAATGTTTAAAGAACAAATTTATTTCATCAGCATAAAGATGTTTGAGGTTTATATTCTTGTAGGATTTTCATCAAAGTTGTTTTGCAATCTTCTTTACTGTCTTTAGCACTTTTGCTTGGTACAGTCTTTTGTGAAATTCAATATTTTCCTTTAAACTTTTTCAGCCAACCAGAATTTGCTTGAAAATTTTCATATTTGAACACCTACCAAACTTTTGTGCTTTTTCATATATTAATGTATCTAACAAAGCATATTCTTCTCTTGCTAATTGCACCCATTTTAGCATTGCTTCATAGAGACCAGAATTATTCTGAATAAATTTTGGCACTTGAGACAAGCCTAAAAGTAGCACTAATGTAATTATATTTCTATAAACATTATGATGCCATTTTTGTATCCCTTTCAATTTGGTACTTGAGGTAGTTGCCTCTCTATCATCTATCAGCATGGCCTAGATTGAAACTTTTGTAGTTGAATATTTTCATCAATCATTCGGTTCTTTAGAGTAGGGATGGGGTAGTCTTCGGGCCACATGTGGCCCACAGTAATATTTTTTGCAGCTTGCGTTGCATAAAATATGAATAAATATATCAATTTCCCAGCTTAAAGAAGTATGCAGCAAGAATTCAAATGTTATTTTTTACAACTTGTGCATGTGAATAGTTTTCTGCAATGAATTAGTAAAAATTAAAACAAGAAACCAGCTAACAGACACATCAAAACTAATTTAAAACAAGCAGTGACTAATATTTAACGAAATATTTCCAATATATTACATTTACATCAGTTCCAGAAGCTAAATTAAGTATACTTCTGCTAATTTCTAATTATATATGAATAAATAATTGTGATTTATTGACATTTTTTCCTCTTTTCTCTTGTATGCGGCCCGCATCAGTTCAAAAGTTTTGAAATGAGGCCTTACATAGAAAAAGGTTACCCATCCCTGCTTTAGAGCATGTTAAATTTTCAATTTTTCAAAAACATGGATAAACTGTTATCTTACTTAAGTCATATCCACTTTTTTATGACCATTATTAATTTTGTTTAAAACTTTTTCTGAGACATTTAAACAATTATATTTTTACTTATTTTTCAACATTTTTATAAAAGTTAAAACACACAGAGCAAGATCTTAAAACTTAAGATCTTAAAGATCTTAGCCAAAAATATAGTGAATACTTAAAAATTTTTTTTGTACCAGAATCATTTAATTTCCAAAAATTGGATAAAAATATTTTCATGCAAATTTCTTTTTTACTCTATGGTCATATCTAGATGACTTCTCAGTACTGGACAGGTTAACTTAAAAGAAATATTGTTTAATATTTTAAGAATTATTCACATGTTTGTATATGACCTCAACCTTCTTCATTTTTTAAATACTTCAATGACAGAATTCCACTAAAAAATTGGTTAAATATGAAATTATGGAACAAGTTATGTTATATTTTTTAAAATTATAGTTATACTAATTGTGTAATTTATTAAAAATATTCAGTAATTCTTAAATTTTTCTTGTATTTTTATTAACAGGAAGATTGTCGTGTATTGATGACAGTGTTAAATAATTTTATTGCTGCTCTTGAATCTGCAGTCAAAGGAGATTTGGTAAGAATTAATTTTTTTTATAACCAAAATAATGTGACATTTATTGCAGTGAAATAGCCAGTAATAATTAGTCAAAAACAACTTTAAGAATGATTAGTTTAGATTTATTAGTAAATGGCTAATTATAAATATCCCTAATATGACATGGTAGTTAGATTTATATTAAATTACTTCTAGTGCAAAACCTGTTATGTGGATAAGAACTAATACAAAAATGGAATAATATTTTGAAAGATAACAAAAATACACTTTTTATTTTTATAACTATTGCAAATGTAATTTTTATTAAAAATAGTAGTAATTGAATGAAGTATGCCATTTAATAAAATATAAAAATATAAATGTATTTATATTTTTATATAAATACATTTTGTATTTAAATTATTAAATGTAATACCGTCGGCCATGTTAATATTTATTATTTTCTTCAAAATGAAGTATGCCATGTTTTATTAGGGATTCATGGTATTACTATTCATAGTTCATAAAGGCTACACACATATTGGTATAACTTAGGGGTCCCCAAACTTTTTATCCCTTCGACCACTTTATAGAATATTTGCCTTCTTATCGACCCCCAGATTATGTATTTAATAAAAACATTAAATCCTTTTTGCATTTCTAATGTTAAGCGATAAGGAGACTTGCGTAACAACCCAACAAAAGAATTTATAGTTCCCATTTCTTATAAAATCCACCCAATAACTTTAACAGAAAAAAGAAGATATTTTCCACTAATTTATAATCTTAAAAAATAATAGCAAAATTATGGATAGATGGAAATATGCCTATAATTTTTAAACCGTACATGTCATAATACGTAAAATACACAATTATTTTTGAAAACATAACAAGTTATATTGGGTGAAAAAGAAACCTCTTGCTGTCATTTTGCGACTACTACTGAATGCCTTAAAAATATGTTAACATAACTTTTTATTAAAATAGTTGATATTAGTGGGATGGATGTCTCTGAAGAGAAGCGGCAAGATTATTGATATTCGGTTGAAAATTGGTAAGTTTTAGTCGCAAATCACCACGGTTTTCCAAGTTCAATCTGTTCCTCTGTTTTGTCAAAATAGCGTTCTCGTGGCTAAAATCAGCTTCAACCACATATGAAGTTGGGAATGCGAGTAAGAAAGGTTCGGCTTCTGCTCTGAGCTTGGGATATTTAGTGGCAATATTGTTATTGCTCCAAAATTCACTGAGGTTTTTATTTTTAAACAACGCTTTAGTTTCGAGATCTACATATATTTCACTCGGTTCATCTTCTAAGCCGGTTCACTACCTTCATTATCTATTTTTACATCAAATGGATTAGCAAACCATTCGGGAACATGCATATTCTCCAATTCTTCGAAACGTGCTTTAAAGTCTTCTCTTAATTTATCAAGATGTTTAATATACTGTATATCTCCAAATCATGGTCGGAAATCTTTTCATTTTCTTTCTTTCTTTCGTCTCCTCCCCGGTTCATGTGGAGATTATAGTTTCATTTTCTTCGCAAGTTTGAAAAATATTTAAAATCGTTGAAGGTTTAAATAGCTCCATTTTTACTTGAAAGGCCATTATGATTGTTCGAGCTCGAACAATTGTAACGTTTTTTCCTTGCAAACGCTTCTGTACTATATTAATGATCTTCGATATATTACGATATTTTCTCTGTAAAGGACAAAATATCTACATTTAGATATAAAATACTTAGAGTGACAACCCTACTAGAGTGTAACAGTGCAACGTATGTCTGTGTATAATGAACTACCAGTGTTCGTAACATGTTTGTAACACTAGTACAGTTGTCAGATGAGTGAAACCAGAGTAGCACATGCTTAAAGCGGCGTAGGCTAAGGCAAAACTCAAGTTATAACTAGGGTAGTCAGTAATGTTGTTGATCATATCCGTATTTCGAATTTTTATTGAAATATTCTATATTTTTCCTAGACAGTTTTATTGATCCTCTTTGGTATTAATCGACCCCCTTTCGACCCTCGTGTATTAATCGACCCCCTTTCGACCCTCGTGTATTAATCGACCCCTGAAGAACTCTTATCGACCCCAAGGGGTCTATATTGACCACTTTGGGGACCCCCTAGTATAACTGAACAGGCACACCTGTCCAGTATACTTGAATATGTTTTTTCATCACACATTCAGGTATACTGGACAGGTGTGTCTGTTCAGGTATATTGTTATCTGTGGTAAGCTGGCTTAAGATGTTCATCTTATAAACTATGATATAATTTGTTAGTGTGTTAGTGAATGTGGTTCACTTTAGTGAACTACATTCACTAAACACACTAACTAATATGGTCATGAGATAGATTTAAATCAGGAAATAAAAAAAACTGTTTTTTTTTATTTCCTGATCTTGAATCTATCTCATGACCACATTTTCTTTGACCCTTCATTTCTTGAATCTATCTCATAGGCTATGAATGAAAGTACTGCACTTAAAAATTGGAAATGTACATAACCAATAAATTCTTTCACATTAAATGATTTAACTTTGATGCAAACAACTCTTGTTTCTGTTAAATGCCTATTTTCTAATGCTAATTTATTTCTTTTTTACACATAAAGGAAGAGTATTTTATTATTATTTTTCAAGATATCATTGAATTTGAAATACATGAAATGCATTATATTTACATTTTTCTATACAAACTTAGAATTTTGATATTGTCTTTTAAAAATCTTAAGCAGTTCAAAAACATAGTTAAAATATGTTAATTTATTATAAATTATATACCTAATTCGTCAAAGACAGAAATGCAATTGTTAGGTGACAGATTTGAACCATTGACTTTTACAAAATGAACTCGCTCCTTTGTCAAAAATTAATTTAGCTATAATTTAATTAATAAATTTATTAATGATCAGAAGAATTGACTACTATAAATGGGAAGGTTTCCACCTCATAACAACTTTTAAGAAATTTCATGATAGTAGATTATGGCATCTACTAAATGTAGACAAAAAAGAATTATTGGAATACAGTTTGGAGTATGTAGAAAAATTGAAATTGATAGGAATTCACTTCTAAGACCTTTACTTTTAAATGTTTATATTCCCAATTAGATAAAGAAAATTTCACAAATGATATGAACAGTTGTATATCTGTAGAGGTTGAGATGGAAGCAAATGACAGGTTGTTCTATGATAAAAGGAGCCTGATGAAATTAATACCCAGTGGATATATGAAATTGTAATTCAGCCAATAGCATTATATGGATTAGAACACTAGCTAATGAATAAAAAGCATGAACAAATATTGAAAATCATGGAGATGAGGATACTTTGATGGAGTAGAGCTGTAAATGTAGACAAACATCAACAAATATCCTAATAGAAGTAATAAGAGAGAGAAACTTATTGTGGCATCAATTAATGAAAAAACTAAGGAAAAATATCTTTTATAATGTGTAGCCATATTTTGAGAAGTAACATTGATGGACTCTGCCTTTACAATAGATTTTTTTAGTTTAAGATCTGTACTCAAGAAGAAAGAAAGATTTAATAGGACAATTACTTTAATCAAGATATCAAGATGGTATGGTTTGACATCAAGAATATATGGAATCATAATCATGCAAAATAGAAATTACTAAACATAATAATCTAAATCTGTTTTGTCAAGCTTAAATATAATTGTTTAGTTTCTTGATTAAAATATTTGATCATCTATCTTTTTTATAATTTCAAATATAAAATTTGCAAGTTTGATAAATTAATTTATTTTCTCATAAAATATTGATGAATAGTTTAACCAAATGTTTTCTTATTTAAACTTATAAAATTTTTTGGAACATTATCTATTTTTCTAGAGCATTAGCTTAAAAATAAAATGATAAAATAGGCTAAAAATCTAATAGATCTCCAAAATCTGTTAGAATTTGGAGATCTTCATATATTTCAGTATTTAATGATATATGATACATATATGACTTATCACTAATTCTTTTAATTTAAAAATTCCAGACAGATTTAGATGATGTTCTTTCTTCTTGTATGCAACGATTTCCTGAAGTATTCAATCTTCATAAAATTAGTGAGAATGAATTTAATTATCATCAATCAAATCATAAAATTCTTCCAAAATCTGTGAAAACTGCCAAAGATGTTCCAATGTGTGTTTTCTGAATGTTTTAATAAACATGTTATTAATTATTTGATGATATATTTTAAATATTTGGTATTTCAGAATTTCTTCATTGGATTTCTTGAAAATTAAAAAAGACATCCTTCAATTGGAATCTAAAAAGGTTGCTCTTTTATTGCAAGCTTTAAGATGGGTAAGAATGTCATATAAATTATCATGTATATCATTAAAATTAAAGTTTTAATATTATGCATTTTTAATAGAGGATAACAAAACAATCCAGTGTAACATTGAAAACTGATGTGTTGATGATGTATATTGAACATGATATACTAAATTTGGAACACACAAAATTAAAGGTAAACATAATAACCTCTTTGTAATTTTAAATAATGTGAAATTTACTACATTTTTTCTTATAAATTTCTATTTTCAGAATTGTATCTAGATCTATTTTTATAAATTACAATTTTTTTATTACATTTTATATCAAGAAAATAAAATTTAATAGTGAATAAATACATAAATTTATAGAATTGTTGTTTGTTTTTGTATGTTAGTGTAAAAAACATATGTATAATTTTAAGAAACTTGATTTATGTAATATTTAGGGAGCGATATAATTTTAGTATAATCAAATATCTGAACGCCTAATTTTTTAATGCTAGGATTTAATTTTATTATTATTAAAATTACAGAATAAATTTATCCTGATGGTAGGTGTTTAAACTGTCATCATGTGCTAAGATTTAATATCATATATTAGTCTTGAATTAATAAAATACACTAATTTAATAATAAATTGTAAAATTATTTTAAAACTTTATAATTATTTAAATTAAAGAACTCAGTAAAAAAGAGTATGAAAATGAATTTAGAGTAATATGGTCTGAAATTTCACAATCTTTCTTCTGAAGATTATGAAATTTTATTTCATGTAATTCCAGTAAAGTAGTTGGATTCTCAATTTAATTTAATAATATCTGAAAGAATATAATACTCTTACTACTTTTTCAATTGAGATTTAAATAAAATATATTTTTAAATATGCATACTATAAATACTTATAGTATATAAATATAAATATTAGAGGTCATATTAAATATGACTTCTAATATTTTATGATGAATCTTATTGGTAAAATTATTATAAAAAATCAAAGTATAATTTTATTCTTATAATTATAATTAAGAATATATCAGTAAATTAAGGAATTTTTTGTAATCATGGAATTAACATAAAAAAATCAAAGAATAATTTTTTATAATTAAGAAAACAAAAGATAATATTTATTTTGTTTTTTATATGATGAATTATCAGAATTTTTTTCCAAAAAGAGTAAAAAAGTTGTCTTTGTGGGAAAATGATCAGAGATATCAAAATTAATAACGCTAAAATCCAAGCAGCAATCTAACAATAATTCTGATCATATTGTGAAGTCAATAGATGATTTTCCGGTATGGGTTAAGCATGTAAATTCCACAGGTATATCAGATTTAATTCTACCATTGATTATATACATTTTGAGATTAATTATTGCATCGATTAATTTTTGTCCAAGCCTGTTTAAATGCTTATCCTTTGAAAGGCGGTTGTTTTGTATTAAAAAATTATTACCTTTATATTTAGAGTCCATATTATCCACAATTCTTGCATTGAAATTGCCTAAAATTATGGAATAAGGAGTCATATTTTGCCAGATCTCCATTTGTTTAGTTATTTCATTCAAAGTTGTTATGTCGTCAGATGGAATATAGGTAAGCATTAAAGTTATGAAATTATTTGTAATATTAGCAAGAGTTGGTTTAATGATTTGAATAAGGAGTAGAATGAAATTATTAGATTTTTTTGTTTGTAAAATTTTGCAGAGACCTTTTTTCATTAATATGCAAAGGCCTCCACTTGGGCAGCCTTGACCTATTGGTTTTTTTGCCAAAGTTGACTCTATTGTAAATTTTTCAAAGAAGGTAGAATTGTAGACTATTTCAGAAGCTATCCAGGTTTCAGTGATGGCAATAATATCTAGATCAAGTTTAGAAATAAAGGCATCTATTTGAGGTATTTTGTATTTAAGTCCTTGACTATTCCAGTTTAATTGAGAGACATTGATTATTAGGGTAGAGTTTGCAGGATTGAGTTTTATCTTGCTTATTAATATGTCATTTAGTTAAATTTGCTATTCTTTATGATGGAAGAAAAGTATCTACATGTACCAGTTTTCTCGTGTTTAAATTATAATTTAGCTTTTTACGATCAATTACTAAGATGTCATTTCGCAATTTTACCTGAGGGTTTTGTTTATATAATTCATAAAAATTTGGCAGTAAATGTTTCCTTCTATTTCTTGAGTTGTTAGTTAAATCTGGAGAAATCTGTATGTTTTGCCATTCCTCTAGTAGACTTTGTTGTTTTTTTCGTATGAAGATAGAAAAAATAAGATCTCTAGTTTGATTATTATTAAATGTTATTCTTGTTAAATTTGGCATTTTTGATAGTTGGACTATCTCTAATATATTGTCTTGAGTTATATTATTTATATTTAATATATTAGTAATAAATTTTAATATTTCTGCTCTTGAAGTGGTTTTGTAGTTTGGGTAATTGCACATTATTATGTTGTTATAGTGATGTTCGTTTATTAACATGTCCATTTTAAATTGGATGAAATCTTTGTCCATTTGTAATTTCTCTACGTGATGTCTCAAATTATCAATTTCCTCTTCCATTTTTTTCTGATTTTCCTTTATTTCTCAAATATTTTTGTGGATAATATCTAGTTCTTCTTTAATCACAACCATTTGATTAAAAAGTTTGTCGTTAGCTGTGTTGATTAAGTCTGATATTTTATTCCAAAGCATTAAAGTATAAGTGTCTGGGAGTTTATCTGTTACATTAATCACGTCTGATCAGAAATAGTTGACTCACCTGGGTTGTCATTTTCATAAATCTGTGATGAATTTAAATTGTAATTCTTATCACTAATGGATTCTTTATGGAGATTTTTTTTTGGAAGTGAAGTTAAAGTTTATTAACGACCTGGGATCTGAAGAAGATGGCTGATTCTTCTTAGTATCCAATTTGGTACGATTTAATGGAGGTCTACCCCTCTTGGCTGGAGAACGTTGCATAATTATTCTTGTTATTACCGATATAAATTGTATTAATTGATAACAAAATTAAGCTTTTTGTAGTAGTAAATAATTAAAAAAACAATTAACTCTTATTCTTAGTATGAGTGGCCAGGTACAAAGGAAAACATGCCATCAGCCTCCAAAACAAAAGATAATTAAGAATACAAAGAATAATTAAATTTTAAAGAGATGAAGGTTAAAAGTTTTAACTGTTTATTTATATACATAGAAAATGTCACAAATTTAAATTATATAAACTGTTACAATTGTCATGAACACTGTTCTGTATTTTTATCTAAGTGTTCATCTTTAAGAAGGTTGATGTGAATCCAGAAGTACTTGAACTTAATTCTTTTTTATGGCATTTAATATTTTATATTCCATTAAAGCAAATATATTGCTTTTATAATTTTATCAAAAAGTTTTTCTGATAAAACCATTGTATATATGTGTTAGAAGACAAACAAAGTATTATTTTTTGTTTTAAAATCTTTTAAATTGGACAAAACAATCAATTCTTTCATCTTTTCAAAAAATCCATTTATTGTTTTTTTTTTATTTTAGCATGAAAATGCTAAAATAAATAAACACCTTTAATTTTTCATATTTTTAGAGATGGTTTTTATTTATGTTATTAAGTGAAATTTTAATAATCATATAAAATACTAGTAGATTCTTATTATATTTTACTTGATAAAAGAAATCTAAAGTTTTAAGATAAAAAAAATATAAGGGAAATGAAAAGCAGGGTTAATTTCAGGAAGAATTTTCCTGATTTTATCATCCTGATTAAAGTGATTAAATGAAAATCACTTTAATTAAGTCAAAATATTTAAATGAACTCTTACAGAGTAAAACATAAATTGTTATATAAAAGCAGGAAATGATTATACTTTAGCCAGTTTCCTAAATTATAAGTTTAATTGATTTTCTATACACAAGAATTAAGAAAATTTAAATTATCATTACGTAAATTAAATTATTTTTAATTTTTCAGGAGTTTCTTGTAAAATAATTTTCTGATTGCTACTAATATTTCAATGTATATTCTTTAGGGCAGGGGTCGCCAAACTTTTTTAACCGTCGACCCCCAACCACTTTCCAAAGCCTCACATTGACCCCCCACCATAAAGTTTTATTACAAGTGTATGTGTATGAGCAAAAAAAAAAAAAAACGTTGTGGTCTTTGTATAAGCAAAAATAAATAAATAAATAAATAAATAAGGCTGTGACCCCTTAGCCGCATCGACCCCTCAATCAACCCCCTAGCCACATTGACCCCCAATGATGTTGCATCGACCCTTTTGGCGACCCCTGTTTTAGGGTAATGTGTATAAATTCATAATATGTATGAGTAAAATAACAGGTGTCACAAAAAATCTACACAAGTTTGTATAATGTAGATATTATCTTGGAGAAAAGAAGAAAAATGATGAAAAGCTGTACATTATCATTTTTTTTTGTAATTCTGCAAGTCTCCATCATTGAACACAGTCAATTTAACTTTGGATGTGCAGTACAAGTTTCTGTAAAAGACTTTGGTTCACATTTTTCAGACAGTACATTATGTGATTGATCAGCTAATCCATACTTTTTGTCTTTCATCTCTTTCTGTAAACAGCTGCTTTCAGAATTTTCCAAAAATATTTGATTGGCCTAATTTCTGGCATATTTTTGCAGGGTTGTCCTTTTCAATGAAAGTTCTGTTTTTCAGTTGCAGGTGATCCAGTTTAGTTTGGCATAGTGGGAATTTGCTTGATCTGACCATAAGATGTATTCATTCTGCTTGAAAATAGTTCTTTTGAATGTAAGGAATCAGATGATGTTGTATAGATTCATTTAAATATTACTGGGTATTGATAGTAAAATTTGAATTTTTGATTAGGGCTTGAATCAATCCATTTGGTGTCATTGCAATCCAATCCAAACCAAAACTTTGCTCTCAAATTATTTTTTTCTTTTGGAAAACTTTACATTGATTAGTGTAGAGGAGATATCAATGATATAAAATCCACCATTACCATTGATTGTCAGAAAGTAAAGTAACATTAGTCATCCAAAATAAAGAACTTTTCAAAAAACTTTCTCTATAATCTTTCACATTGTCTTTTCCAGTAATTTTTGCATGTCCATTCTGTCCAGAATTATCTATTTCTCTCAATATTTAATATATGGTTTTGTTTTCAAAGCTTCGTGGATCCAAACTATGTGAAGTTTTCAGTTTCAGGGCTAAAAGCCAAATTGAAACCTTTTCACTGTCTTCAAAGAACCTCTTTTAATCCTTCCAACTTGGCTTTTGTTAGAATTTTTGCTCTTTTATCAATCCTTTTTCTTTTCTGTGGTAGTAATCCACTCTTGAAATGTTGAAGAATACAAAAATGTAGTCCATTTTGAAATTACTTCATTTGCAAATGGTTTATGATAAACATTTTTCCTAACGCTTTAATTAATTTGTAAAAGTTGTACACTCTTAGGAGCAAAGCATTTTCTTTCATTGCCATTTTGAAAGAAGATGAAAATCAAATTCAGAAAAAGATTCTATTATGTTATGTAGCGTTTAAAGTGCTTTCAAATTACAAGGTCTGTTCAAAAAGTATTGGACCTTTGGTTGGCAAAAATAAATTTATTGACTTTGAGGTACAAAACCCTAATCCCCTTCAAAGTAGTTTCCTTGGTAATGTATACACTTCTCCCAGCATTCCTGCCATTGCTGGAAACACTGCTGGAACACATCTTTTGGAATGGTTATCAGCCGGTCCGTCGCATTTCGCATGATGTCTTCTCTCGACTAAATTTGGGTTCCTTTTAGCGGCATTTTCAGTTTGAGAAATAGCCAAAGGTCATGCGGAGCCATGTGGAGAGAGTACGGAGCGTGACGAACCACAGGAGTATTGTGTTTGGTGATGAAAGCCTGAATCAGATGCGCAGAATGGGCGGATGCGTTATCACGATGGAGCTGCCAAGTTTTGATCGACCACAGATCCGGTTGTTTGCGTCGCACTGTATCGGAAAGACGACGAAGGACCTCCTGGTAGTACTCCTTTGCGATGGTTTGGCCTTGTGGTGCGTACTCACGACACACCACCCCACGAGAGTCGAAAAAACTGTCAACATGACCTTTGATATTGCTGCGGACCTGCCGCGCTTTTTTTGGCCTCGAGGATCGTCCCCGAAAGCCTGCTGAATCTTGCGAATGGTTTACACTCGGGTATCGCCAAGGTTTTTGGCAAAATTTGATGTAATATCGCTGCTCACGTTGTTCAGTCATTTTCCAGCTTAGTGTAATCCAACGAGAGCGCACTACATGACCTCACTCATAGGCCGATTGCCAACGACTGACACTTCCAGCAGGCGGGAAAAAATTCAGGGCTGTGCATGACTTTCCCCTCCACAACTCCACCGAAGGAGGCCTCTCTCGCATCATTGGTTTACGCGGAAAAAAAAAGATCCGATACTTTTTGAACAGACCTTGTATAGCACATACAGCATTATTGGCTGTTAGCTAGAGTCAGATATTTTTTGCAGATTTTTTTTCTAGACACCTATTAATTCTGAATCAGAATTCAAAATAGTAAAAATTATCATCAAAAATGTATAGCTATATGTTAAAAAGTAAATTTTCTCTTATAGACTGCTTTTTTAATAAGGATTTTAATAAAGTTTTAAAATGCATTTCTAATATAGCATTTTAAATTTTCGAAATAAAGAAATACAAAATTAGTATTGTAACTAAATAAATCACACTATTATAAGTTAAGATGTATTTTATATTATTTATTTTATAATTATATTTGTAAAATTATTTATATGGAAATGATTTTCATTATAGGAAAACTTTTTAGATAAAGTTCATAATTCTACAAGCGATATTCTTCAAACATTCCTCAGATTTTTGAATACTATTGCTTCATTTCCAGAAGGTAATACTTTATTCTAATTTCAGAAATAATCATTTTGAAAATTTGTCATAAATTGCAATTTGCATATAGAAATCATTTAAGTTATGCATTTAATAATGTAACGATACCTTTACCTAAATAACTTTTCATTTATAGTATACATTATTGAAATTTATAAATAAATAAAAAATTCATATTATAAAATGAAGAATTAAACTAAAAAAGATAAATACTGTATATATTTAACAGTAATTCCTTTGTGATTTCTAAGCCAAATTAATGTAGTAAATTTTTAATAGAGTTATTGTTTATTGCAGTACTAAATAAAGACATACATATGGGGTTCTGGGGTTTAACCTTACCATTTCAGAAAGTCAAAAATTTAAATAAAATTAAACATTGTAAAAATTTGTGTATAACTTATATTTATTTTATATTCATTCAGTTCTTTTAGTCTACTGTATTATGTCATGTTATATACCTGTATTGTAAAATTAAGAAACCATTCATTTATTTTATTTTGTTAGCATAATAAAATAAGAAGCATTATTTTAATTTAAAACAATTTCTGTTAATAACATTTAACTGTACAGTACATATTTAAAATGGTTTGCTTGAACCATATAATTATCAAATTAATTAAACTGAATCTAATTTAAATATACTTAATTTGTAATATGTTTATTTATGTATTACATTAAATGAATTTATCTCAACTAGTTAATCATGGAGTGTATTTTTGGTAACATATTTCAAAATATGCAAAAAAGAAGACAAAATTTAAAGAGATTGGACGAAAATGCATTAGATTAGTTACAGTAATTTTAGAAATATAAAAATATAATTACTAAATTCCATTAATTATTATAATAATAAATAACATTAAATTGCTACATTGTTTTGATTAATTAATGAGGGAAAAATTAATTTCTTGATTTATTGAATATGGTAAAAATTTTAATTAACAGTTTTATATTTAAAAAGTATAATTTTTTAAAAATATAAATTGCTCATTATATCCTAAGAATTATGTGAATATATTTTAAAATGGATTAATTCCATAGAATCCATAATTCCTGTAATCTATGACAGATATATTCTTTTCCCCTTTTTTTTATTAGAATGCTTGATTCAAGATTCAAACCTAAATATTTTAATGATTCAATTAAATTTTTTTCCAGAATAAGGTTTTACTTAACTTTTGAAGCAGAGTTTTGTAATTTGACATAATCCTTTTAGAGTATATATTTTTGCTGTTTTTTGTTATAGAAGCTTAATTTATATAAAATTTTATACAGTTGAGCATTCTTTATGTCTATCAAGAGAACAGACAAAAAAGATTTATAATTGAAATTTAAGTCAAGATGCATCACAAAACGGCAGAACTAGTAATTTTTATGGAAAACTCATGGTATTACAGCTTTTAACAAATATTCTAACTTTTATCTTATTGTAAGTTATTTTTATTAAAAAACAGTAATTTTTCTTGTTGAAGTTACAGTGATCAGTTTTTTAGTAAAGATGATTCTCATACCTGATTAACAGCAATAAATCCCAGAGTGACTTTCATCTGTCCAAAACTAAAATGCCACTGCAATTGATGGTATACTGTTTTGTATAAAATTCTTTAAATTTTAGAACATTTACTAAAAACTGTTAGATGTCCTGTATTAGAATTGTTAAGAATTACATGTTAAAATAGCTCTGAAGTGATTTGTTAAAGAAACATTCTTTATTTATGAACTGTTAGTGTTAAGTGATTACAAACTTACAGGGTTTCTATATTATAGAAATAATATAGGATATCAGAATATAGAATATCTTTTCCTATATTTTAATTTCTTGATAGCCATTAGCCAGTAATTTAATGCAAATACTTCCTCTCTGGGAGTAACACACCTGCTGTAGTCAATTTTATGTAATTTAATTATGGGAGTATGAACAAAAGATGAAAAAATTGAATAAAGAATGTGTTATAGAAATTTTGAGTACATTTATCCAAAAGAATATTGCAATATTCCAAAAGAATAAGCAGTATCTGTTATCTTCATTGAATATAAATGAAGTCATGTAATAAATTTAGATGTATAAACAAAATATTTCACTATTGAGAGGAATAGAGAGATTTATGAATCGATGGAAACTGAGGTACAAATGTGAGACATATAAATGGTGTTCCACCATATTTGCACTTTATAGATATCATATTTATTTTTTGTGAACTAAAATGCCAGATATTTTAATTTAATTTAATTATTTTACCTTTTATTGTATCATATGTGTTTATCATTTTTATTTTTAATATTTACTTTATTTGTTTACATTTGCTAGTGTATTTTTTTTATATATTAAAATAATGTCTTTTATGAATTTCTTATAATGTTAGATAAATTTAGTCATTTCTAGATATTCTTTCATCTGAAAATTATGATAGTTTATATGCCATTTTTGACACTTTAAAGTATGAAAAATTACAGAAAATCATGTTCAATAATAATTTATTAGGAACAACTATAAACATAAGTTAGTAATTCGGCTGCAATTTGTAAAAATTGTAGACCTATAAATTCCCACTGTCATTTGTCTATCCGTCTTTCCTTAATCCCGAGAATGGATTTAGATAGATGAAAGACGAGACCAGATATGGAAAGTTAGGGGAAGGCGGCCCCGATTAACTCTATAAGAACATACGATGCAAACCAGAAGTCATGTTATTTCAATTCAAAATTTTTTCCTGAAAGGTGTTAGATCGATGACTGGTACAACTCTATTGTTAAAGGAAAAGTATGATGTACAGGGACATGTCACTGCTAATTTGAGGCGGAGAGAATATATTTTAAATGAAATAAATTAAAAATATGATTAAAAATTGCAGCTTGGCACTATAACAATAAATAATTGCTTGTTCATTTAACAAATTTATTATTGGTTAATTAATTGTTGTACAGTGCATTTCCAATTTGATCTGTTTCTAAATCTCATGGAAGAGATTTAGAAACAGATGTGCACCAAAGAGTTAGTTAAAATTTAATAAACTGTCAACTGTTAAGCACACTATTCTTAGTCTGTTCACCATAACCTTACACTTCTACATAAAATGATGTACAACTAGAAATAATAATTATGGAAACACAGTGTGGCTAAAATAAAAATTACTGATAAATTTGTTTAAAATAATTTAACCTATTTTAGAAAGAGGAAAATTAAAAAAGTAACTTTAAGAAAAAAATTATGTTCTGTGAATAGTGATTGATTATTACATAAATTCCATCTTCCTATTTCTTTGAGATAGCAAGTATATATTTGGAAAACAAAGAAGTAAAAAGTAATATTAATAAAAAAGAAAATGTTTACAATTGATAGTGCAGACTACTTTACAAAACTATAGTTATTGTTTATTGCAGTACTAAATAAAGACATACNTTATCAGAATTTTTTTCCAAAAAGAGTAAAAAAGTTGTCTTTGTGGGAAAATGATCAGAGATATCAAAATTAATAACGCTAAAATCCAAGCAGCAATCTAACAATAATTCTGATCATATTGTGAAGTCAATAGATGATTTTCCGGTATGGGTTAAGCATGTAAATTCCACAGGTATATCAGATTTAATTCTACCATTGATTATATACATTTTGAGATTAATTATTGCATCGATTAATTTTTGTCCAAGCCTGTTTAAATGCTTATCCTTTGAAAGGCGGTTGTTTTGTATTAAAAAATTATTACCTTTATATTTAGAGTCCATATTATCCACAATTCTTGCATTGAAATTGCCTAAAATTATGGAATAAGGAGTCATATTTTGCCAGATCTCCATTTGTTTAGTTATTTCATTCAAAGTTGTTATGTCGTCAGATGGAATATAGGTAAGCATTAAAGTTATGAAATTATTTGTAATATTAGCAAGAGTTGGTTTAATGATTTGAATAAGGAGTAGAATGAAATTATTAGATTTTTTTGTTTGTAAAATTTTGCAGAGACCTTTTTTCATTAATATGCAAAGGCCTCCACTTGGGCAGCCTTGACCTATTGGTTTTTTTGCCAAAGTTGACTCTATTGTAAATTTTTCAAAGAAGGTAGAATTGTAGACTATTTCAGAAGCTATCCAGGTTTCAGTGATGGCAATAATATCTAGATCAAGTTTAGAAATAAAGGCATCTAATTGAGGTATTTTGTATTTAAGTCCTTGACTATTCCAGTTTAATTGAGAGACATTGATTATTAGGGTAGAGTTTGCAGGATTGAGTTTTATCTTGCTTATTAATATGTCATTTAGTTAAATTTGCTATTCTTTATGATGGAAGAAAAGTATCTACATGTACCAGTTTTCTCGTGTTTAAATTATAATTTAGCTTTTTACGATCAATTACTAAGATGTCATTTCGCAATTTTACCTGAGGGTTTTGTTTATATAATTCATAAAAATTTGGCAGTAAATGTTTCCTTCTATTTCTTGAGTTGTTAGTTAAATCTGGAGAAATCTGTATGTTTTGCCATTCCTCTAGTAGACTTTGTTGTTTTTTTCGTATGAAGGTAGAAAAAATAAGATCTCTAGTTTGATTATTATTAAATGTTATTCTTGTTGTTAAATTTGGCGTTTTCGATAGTTGGACTATCTCTAGTATATTGTCTTGAGTTATATTATTTATATTTAATACATTAGTAATAAATTTTAGTATTTCTGCTCTTGAAGTGGTTTTGTAGTTTGGGTAATTGCACATTATTATGTTGTTATAGCGATGTTCGTTTATTAACA